GGAATATCCTCATGTTTCTTTCAATCCACAATTTGTATATAGTTGCATTCAGAGCCATTCTTTTAACCTTCTGTTTGAATCCTTTACCCCTCAAGCTTTTGTTGTACCACTCTAATAGCATTTCCCAGTTACAGGTTTTCCATTTAAATTCCAACCAGTCCATGATCTTATTTCATACTTCTTTCGAGTATACACACTCGAAAAACAGGTGGTTCCTTGACTCCAATCCAGCACAATCACACAAGCAACATTGATTGTTTTGAACAATCCCTCTCCTTAGCAATTTGTCCAGTGTAAGCAGTCTACTTTGAACAGCCAACCAACAAATGAAAGAGTGGGCTCCCATACAGTTTTGTACCAAGAAACTGGTGCCATTATAGAAGCAGGGGATAAGACAGCATATAGAGTTGAGGTCTTGATCTTTGTATTTTTGTAACAATCACCAATGAGCTTCTTCAGATTATCTATTCCTCCACATTGTATCAAAGCTTTATCCCTTATTTTGATCATTTGTTTCCAGGTCCAGGAATCACCAGACTTTGTTTGAACTTGCCAGATATCATTAGTTCTTAAGTAATTACCATGAATCCACTTGATCTATAGTAACTCCTTATTTATATGAATAAACCATATATTCTTTAATGCAGCAGCAGCATTCCAATTTGAAGCTGAGAAAATACCAAGTCCTCCATATTTTTTACCTGTGCATATTTTATCCCAAGAGACTAGCGGAATTCTAGAATCACCCCATAAAAAGTTCCTGCACATATCATCAATCCTCTGGAGCACACTAGTTGGTAAGATATAGCTTGAAGTCCAAAAAGTTTGAATTCCAAGAATTACACTCTTAATAACTTGAAGTTTACCAGCATATGATAGTTTTTTGAATTTCATCCATTTTTGAAACTGACTAGTAATTTTGCTGAATAGAGGACTGCAATCCACAAAAGATAGCATTTTACTTATTAGAGGCATACCCAGGTATCTGATGGGGAATGTACCTTCAGTAAAGCCAAGCTGAGAGTTAATTGAAGCTTTGACAGAATCTTGGACACCACTATAAAAAATACAAGATTTATCAGCATTTTCTTCAAGACCAGATACTGCACTAAATTCTCTGATACATTGGTGGAGCTTCATAATGGTATGCATGTCACCCTTTCCAAACAGAAGCAAATCATCAGCAAAGATAAGATGAGTAATCTTGAGTTTTTTACATTTGGGATGAAATTTGAACTGATTATCACTCTTCAATATGTCCAATCTTCTTGAGAGATATTCCATGCCAAGAATGAAGAGATACGGGGATAGAGGATCCCCTTGTCTGAGCCCTCTTTGTCCATAGAAATAACCATGTAAGGATCCATTAAGAGCAATGGAATATTTAGGAGATGTTATGCAAGATATTATCCAATCAACCATAACTTTAGTAAACCCCAGGCCTAACAGCATATGATTCAAGAAACTCCAGCTGATAGTATCGAAGGCTTTTCTAATATCTATATTGAGCAGAACTCTGGGAGATATGTTCTTCCTGTTGTAGCCCTTAACCAGTTCATGAGCCAACAAAATATTAGTAGATATTTGCCTACCTTCCACAAAAGCACTCATGAGATAGGTCTGAAATCAGCTGGAGTTTTTGGACAGTTTACCTTTGGAATCAGAGTAATAGATGTTGAGTTGATAGCCCACATTGCATGATATTAATCGTATGCAGTCCATGCGTTGAACATTTGTCTATTGCGGCTCATGTGTTGGACATTTACTCATTTCAGTCCATGTGTTGGACCTTAATCATATAGTCCATGTGTTGGATATTTACCCATTTCAGTCAATGTGTTGGACCTTAATCATATAGTCCATGTGTTGGACATTTACCCATTACAGTCCATGTGTTGGGCTTTTACCTGTTATAGTCCATGTGTTGGGCTTTTACCTGTTACAGTCCATGTATTGGGCATTTATCATATGCAATCCATGTGTTAGACATTTATCTGAGTTGTTTTTATTTAACATATAGTAGTTGAAGTCCTTGTGTTGGACTATAAACTATTAAAGTTTTCGTGTTGGACTTTAAGCTTTTGCAGTCCATGTATTAAACATAAACATATTGTCGCAGAACGTTTGAGTAAGAGTATTACAAGAGTATCACTATTGCACAAGGAGATGTACACATATATGTATTATCAGTTATAGTTACTCCCATATTAGATTACCCATGAGTAGGGTACATTCTTTGATTTGTGACATACAAGATATGGCCTATGGTAATTTTTGAGTTGGATGATATTCTCTTATTATTGTGCTAACTACTTGAGAAGTAGTTCGAGATTTTGACATTGGTTCTATATGGTTGAGGCTTAGAGTATTTCTTTTGAGTGTTATTTTTATTCATAGAGTTGGAATTGATATTTAGGGATCTACAATTTGAGACATATGGTATATATAAGAGGGTTTCTTTGTTTGAATTATTTCGCTCGACGTACTACGTCTCGTCTTGTATGTGTCTAAATATTAACTCTATTAGATACGAAAAAAATGATATAGATAGACTATGCTTAATAGATAGAGCATTCACTTCATCTAGTAACCCTTCCCCTGGGGGCGGATGTAGTTGATCTTGCTGTAACACTCTGACGTTCTTGTTATTGCTCTTTTTGTTTAAATTGTCTCTTTCAGGCGGATTAGAGTTTCGGAGAACCGCAGGATGACGGAGTTCTAACATAGTTGCTGTCACACAGTCTTAGTACCTGAAGCTCCACTGTATAGTTATGTTTATTGTTCAGACTTTAGAGTTGTATTCATTTTGTAGAGGCTGAGTTTCCTAGTGAGGTTTCATTTGACTCATTGTATTGAGATGTATTTCAGACTCAGGGATATTTTCATTCTATTTCAGTTGGGCTCATTTATTGATATATTTCTTCTGTGTATATCTAATTTTGCACTTCTATTATTTTTTTGTTTTGTACCATCACCTATTTGTTGATTCCACTAGAGAGATAGTGTTGATTCTACTAGAGAGATAGTGACTGTGATGATGAAACATATCATAGCATGGTGTTTGGTGTTTGACAGGTTTAACAATCCGGGTTTTACCTTGGACTGCAGCCTTGTGTGAACCCTGAGGCGTCACAGACAGTTTATGCAGAGAGATACCTGGTTGTCTGTTGAGTTGTTAAGAAGTTTATGCAGGCATTCTACTTAGTTATCTTGGTATCTGAGGTGCTTCTCAGCAATTTCCAGTGACAAGGAAAGCAACTGCTAGCATATTGTTGGGTTTAGTAATAATTGCAATTGATAGAATTAGGAATAAACAGCTCACAGAGAATGATCAAGCCCGCTGTTATGTTGTAGCTGAAAATAATGTCTGACTTCAATTGATCAACGAGGTTGATAATCTAATCCAACTGTAGTTTCTGGGCTTAGATTCTCTTATGACCTACTATTAGTACGAATTCAGGAGCTGTTTAAGTCTAGACAGAACGATTCTTTCAGTATCCATGTCCGCAATCGATCTGTGCTCATTACAGCTGGTTGCAAGTGAGGATCGTAATGTTAAGTTTGTTACTTTGCTCTGGATCAAAAGTAGAAGGCAACTATTTTTGCTACTGATTAATTTCACTAGTAGTACCAACCCTTATGCAACCATTTATAATGCTAGTTTTGACCGTCTACAAGCCACTTTCATCATTTCTGATGATTAGTTTTAAGAAAAGAACCATGATACGACGAGTGGTAGTTGCATTTTGCTTCTAAAAGAATGTTAAGACTACATTTTATAGGTTTTTGATGTTTATATTCTACTTATTTGAATTTTTTTGAATTAATTTCAGGGGATGAAGGATGTGAGATTGATGTTTTGATGGGCTCACTAACGTCAAAAACCAAAAACCAAGGACTTCGGCATATTTTTCTCTCTCTGGTTAATATTCTATATATGAAATTGATTGTAATAGACTTTGTTGGTTAAGATCTTCTATATGAAATTGATTGTAATAGACTTTGTTGCTTAAGATTTTCTATATGAAATTGATTGTAATAGATTTTATGACTAGAAATGAATTATACTTTATATTAGGAATATCATGACATTTACTTTAGATTTGTTTTGGTTCTTTCATTGATCATTCTTTCTGCAAATATTATGTGTGAGAAATATTATTCTTTAATTAGTGAAATTGTGGTTGTGCTTTTGCTTGTTAATATTTACTAATTTTGAATAATTATGCTTGAACTGCATCATTGTCTAGAGCTTATTCGGAATCATCTTTCTTCACTTGAGGTTATGAATAACTTGAAAGTTCAAGACCATGTAAGATTATATGCAAATTAGAGTCATCGTAAATTTGACTAAATTTTCTTGAGTTAAGATTGTGCAAACATATTCGGTAACTTGTAAATTTTTTGAAAATATGATAGAATCACAATTTAATTTAATTATTTTTTGTAAATTATTTAAAATCTAAATCTAATTCCAAAAAGTATGAATTAAAATTATGTTGTGATAATTTTCTTCCTTTTTTTCTCAGAAAGGTAACCAAACAAGAGAAAATAACTTTCTTATGAATTTTTTTCTAACTTTCCTTACAATATTCTTTCTAACCAAACAATAAAAAGAATATCATTTTCTTTTCTTTTTCTTTTCTCTCCCTTTCTCTCAAACCAAACATAACCTTAGTAAATCATATATATTGTATAAGATTAAAATAAAAAAATACTGATCTGTCTTCAACCTAATATCAAATAGCACTAAGACTACCATTTGCAAAATTTTTATGTTTACATTTGATACTTTCTGTGGCTTTTAGTTTACAGATCCAAAATATTTTTGATAATTTAGAAATTAAAACAGACAATCAATATAAAAGCTTCAGTGGCCTAGTACCTATTTGGTGTAGTGATCATCAAATCAAGCCAAGTCTACCTAATCATACAGCTTAAAAGATTCATAAACATTGAATTGGATCTACTTCGATATTCTATTCAAGTGAGACTGTAAATGTAACCAAATGGTGATGATACATATAAATGAACAAGGATGAACACAACATCGTCAATGAACCAAATTAATATCCATAGGAAGATGTCAAAATAAACAATAAGGTCATTATTTAGGTCACACTTAGAACATCACAAATCACCTACACTCAACCAATGTCGCAAAGGTGGAGGAAAATTAAAGCGACCATGTTGTGTGCAGCTAGTCAAACATCTTCTCTCTTGTTGTATCTAAGTATTTCTACTCCTAAATAATCAATATGTCCATGGACGGCAACATTAGGTTTGGCAACCTTTACTTGAATTGTGGATATCTGAGGATACTTATTTAGGGTGGCACATGCAATAAGATGAGCTACCGACTCAAGGAGATTCTGAGAAGGACCTTCCACAATTTCCCTAACTATCCTGCAACCACAACCACATAATTTTATTTTTGTTTTGAAATATACAGAAGAATCAAGACGAAAACAATAACATCACCAAAAGGTAGCACAGATTTCTCTATAACAGACTAAAAGACAATTAATATAAGAATTGGACAACATCATATGTTTTTGCTTCTTCATCGGTGTACAACAACAACAATAACAATTTCAAAGCCTATATACCCAATATCTAGCCTTCATTAAACATCATTAAGGACCATCACCTTTCTTAATGTTAACAAACATCCTTTTCTATTGTATCAATTCCATGTTCATTTAGGTGTACCTCTAGTACTGCATTGCTCCATCAAGCATCATTGCAATGAGCAAACCATCTCAAAATGATGCTCCCTTATCCTTAATTGGATTTTCTTCTAAATTCTTACAAATGAACTAATTTCTTATCTTATTGCCACTCATTTAAATGTTCTAAATTCTGGTCATACTTGTAGCTTCTTAAATGGCAATATTTCTGACCCACAAAATATAATATATTTGTATATATGTCTTATTAAAAAAAATCTTTCAAGGTTCATGGGTAAATGTTGGTCATATAACACTGCAGAACCCTCAACAAATTTTCTACTTCAACAATCCTGCTTTGCTACAAAGGATGGCATCTACATCACACACCATGATGATCAATGTCAAATCATAACATGCAAAATGGTCAGTTCAAGGTATTTATTGGGTGTTAATGTTGACAAGATTGATGCAAATAGAACACATAAATAATTCTCCTTGATTGAGTTTTACAGCTCTAGAATCATTTTTTTAAAGTTTCAGAGTAACAAGAATTAGACATAGAACTGAAGAAACAAGAATGGAGATGGAAAGGATTGCTAGATACAAATATAACTGAGGGGATGGACCTTAACAGAGCTCAATGGAAGAAAAGGTTCTCATAGCCAACCCCAAGGGTTCGGAATATAGATTTCTGTTTTGGTTAGAATTTAATAGCAGTAAGCTTAGCTAACAAAGAAATTCCCCCCGGTACAAAAAAGAAATTAAAAACACAACAAGCATTCGTTTAGTTGGATATTTTGATTTGTAAATCCTTTTGAAAACATGAAATTAATGTGGTGTTGAGAAAAAAAAGATACGAATATTTTTTTGGCACGAAGGTCTTCGATACCTAACTCCCATATTCTTCTTATTATATTTTTCCTGTTTGTCATTGTTCTTTCTGTGTTTGCAATCTGGATACAGAATATAACCTGAAACCCCAATTTCAAGCCTTAAAGTTTGCCCCAAGTTCAATTGCAGCACAATTAAACATCCGGTGGAACCTTTACTATAAAATCAACCTTTATTATGAGATTTTTTAAAATATTATTGAAACCATGTGCTGGTTCTCCTCTTTTCTTTAAATATTTCTACTAATCAACATAGTACACAGAAGCTTCCATTGAGAACCATCATAACGTAAAATATATAGATTCTCAATACAAATGTGTTCCCCTTAGTTTCATCAATTATTATCCTCCAACATTTTTATTGCATTGCTAATTAATGCTTCGGGGACAATTTATAAAGCTTCATATCTCCTTTAGTCCTACAAATAGGTGTGCTTAGTTATTTATTCAAATAAATAACAGATGTAGTCTATGTTATCTTAAAGCATGTACGAAAATATCGATAGATATCATAACATAGCAAAAGATGGAGAAAGGGCATCCTGGTCATTTTGGCAGTCATTTAGCATTCATGTAGCACCATAACAAGATTTATATGCCTAGGTATCTTAACTGGAAACCAGACCCCAACTAATTACCTGTAAATATCGGTGTAGCTGATAGTATCACACAAATTGTCACTTTTACAAGCTTCGTTAAGATCTAGCCAAGCGTCCACATCTACCAAGAACTTCTGACCAAGCTTCTTTTCTTCTGGATTAACCCCATGAAAGCCATGGAATTTCAACCCCTTCAATATAAGCTTATCTCCTTTAGGGAATCTTGCATCCCCCATAAACGCACCTAATGAAAATGCCAATTTAGAGTAAATTCTAAAAAAAGGATGATAGACATATGGAAAATAGAGCGAACCCGCCTGTGAATTTGATTTCGAAAGAACACTTGTTTCAAAGGTCACAAGTAGTTTCAAAGAGAACAAAAGTTGCAGTGACAATGTAGAGATCATGAATAGAGTGTTTGAATGTAATTCCCTTGGAAATATATTCGTAGACCTTATAAAACCATCCACCTTCAGAAAAACAATTCATGAGACAATACCTCGTCAGAACTTGAAATTTCTCCAAGCGAAACTGAAATACCGAATATGTTCGGGGGAATCTTCGCTTTGTTGCATTGAAAAGGCCTCACTAGTTGCTATAAATAATATATAGTGCAATTATTATCAGTTTATTAGTAACAACCCCTTAAATAGTGTTGCAGCCTGGCCCTTGCCAGTCCACACTCTTGAGACAAACTGAGATTTTCATGTCCATTCATTTGATTCAAACTAAAACTTCCCACTGCTCCCTGTTTGGTTCAAATTATCAACCCATATTTCGACTGCTGGATTAAGTTAAGCTACAAAGATGATGCATATGGTAGGCCAGAAGCCCTGATTCACATCAGACACCAATCCTTTGAATTGATAGTTCACATAAAAATGCACACCCACATAAAAGCTTTTTTAAATGTCTAGCGAAAATTCTGTCGAAAATATAAAACAAAATTTGCTTCGGGTTAAAAAAACACATTCCCTTGAATCGGTTACCGGAAACTTGAAAAGAAAAAGGAAAGAAAACCATGATAATTGGTGAATAGATGCCGTAAAACACCAAACGAAGGCAGAGGAAATTCCCAAAATAGATATAAATTCGTCGAAAATAAGAAGGAAAAAAAAAATCTTACGGGGATTTTGGATGAGAGCACGACGTCGTAGCGGCTGGAAATTGAGAGGGCGAAGAGGCAATCGTGAGAGTGAGGACATATTCTGTGATGTAGAATGGGAGGATTAAATTAGCTTTTTTTTTACCCCCTTTTTTTTAAAGGGAAAATTAATAACGGGTGGGTTGCGGGCCGGGTCGGATCTGTACTGTCCCGAGATTCGACCCAGGGTGTCGTACAGGTTGCGGGCCGGGTCGTAACATCACATCACTTTTATGAACTAGCCTTATTAGAGTGCCAAGCCCATACCTAGCACCTCCGCGTCTGCTTTCGAGCAGAGATAGATGAAACTACAAACTCATATTCAAATTTTTACAAAACAAAGCGCAATTATTATGGAGCTTAAACTGCACAGAATAGTATTTAGCCATCTGTGACAAGTATAGTACTTTATCAACACCTAGTATATCATTAGTATAGTACATGCTTCATTATATTGACTATATATAACTACCAGGTTAACTATCCATGTTCAAGAGTCTAACCGTATGTTACGATATCGGATATTATTTACTAGGTGATATAGCAGTGCTACTAGTGACTGTATGGTAGGGTTAGTATGGTATACCCTTCTCATATAGGATAGGTACGGTAGTAATTAGTGACTACACCCACCCCAACAAAAACCAAAGTATACTTCACCAACACACATAAAATACAAACCCACTTATCACTATTATAGAAAGAGAGGGAGCGGAGAGGAGGGAGGAGGTAAAACTTCCTTATCAACTTAGGGGCCCAGTTGTTTGGTTGCACTCTTTTGAGCAAAATCTTTCTCAAACCATCTTCCTGACAACGCCAAATTGTAATTAAAAGTTTATCAGAAGATTTTCGTAACATTGTGTTGGTGGGATTCACAACAAATTTAGCCTAGAAATATTTTCTATAATAAAATATTCACAAAACCTTACCAAATGTTACAAAAACAATTTCCTTCTCAAAATGAGAGGGAACATCACCAGAAAATCTGGACAATACCACTATCGTTTAATTAAAAATTCTTACCACAATCTTGTTATTTTTCTAAAATAAAGTTATGGAGCGTATTTTCTGTTTTGACCAAAACAAGCAAAATTAACAAAAAAACAAGCAAAATTCGTATACTTTTATTATTTCTTAAACTTTCCTAGGTATTTTTTTAAAAATACAAGGAATATCTTATTTTTAGTGTGGAAAACTTTCCTATAATTTCATAGAAATTTAACCAAACACCAAGCCTTAAGTGATGTCCACCAAACTTCCTGCTCCACTCATTTAATATAATATTAAAAATCCTTTCATATCATGCAAGGAGTTCAACCCTAGATTAATCAGAGTGGGCTAAAGAGCTTTAGTGGACAACTTTTTGCTATCCACTTAAGTTGATAAAGGTTTTTGCTATATACCTCAATAGATATATACTACGGCGCGTATATACGCGTGTATAATGAGTGAGTATATTTATCATACCGTCGAATTGACTATCCCTGTAATCAGCGGTATAGCCGCATGTTATGGTACTATTATAAGGAAAGCCCTCATCGTACTAGCCTAACTATGCTATTAGCGTACTATCGTATTATTATATATAATTTAATATACTTAGTTGTCGGTCTACGACGCTTTTACGCCGTATGATTAATACGCCGTTATTATATAGGTGAAAACTTATGGGCCAGCTTAAGGTGGATAGGGGCAAACTAGTGTGTCCACCTAAGTTTTTTAACCACTACATATTGCCTAGGGGATCCTTATTATTATATAAAAAACTGGTGTTTCTCATAACTTAATTAAATGTGTGCATAGGAAACCTTTGGGTGACATCAACCTTAAGTTGGATAGTAGTTCTTTGGCTCATACTAAAATAGCGATACTTACCGTAATTTATATTCCGTAGTTATGTAGACCGTTAAGTATATATATTAGTATATTATTTCACTGACGGGTTAAGATATACTACTTATAATTAAACCCAAAACTAACAAGATAGATACTATAGCCACCAAAATAATATGATGGAGTAACTTGTAGTGAATGGTATATATATATATATAAGTGATATATATAATATGAGTAGTAGAGTAATAGTAGATACTATATACTATATAGAAAGTGTTCCTAAGTGACGTCCTTAGATAAGTATCTGCGACAGGACGGCACCTAGAATCCATGATTTGACCGTACATTGTGGATGATCATCGCCTCCGGCTTGAAACTTGATTCTGCGATATTATAAACCCCAAGCACACCAAGGTTTTGGAGTGAATCCATCGTCGGGTTTTGCACCCTCCGTTTCGAGCCATGTGAAAGCTTCTTAGTTTCATTCCAAAGCGTTAAAATTGGCATACGACGGTGGTAATGAAAGGTCATAACGATCGACGGGTTCACCCTAAACTTCGGCCTGTGTGGCGTTTTAGTAATATGTAATTATTATTTAACGTTTTGAGGGTCGGATCATCCACAGTGTAGCCTCAATATGTGATTTGTTTTTAATTTTTGTTATGGCCGCCGTTCCTTAGATGATAATATCCTAACGGGGCGGTCACCTTCTAGCGAACACTGTCTTCCCAGTATCGTATTATGTATCGGTGAGCTATTATCTAGGTTAGGACGATGATTACGGGTAGACGGTAGTATTTATACTACTAGTATGTATTATAAGGTATTATGTGTGTATACTGAGGTCATACTAGTATATTACCAAATTTCTTGGGTTAGGTCCATGAATTATTAGACCAACTTTTTATTCCCTAATTTAAGGGGTTGTTCAGTTCAATTTCTATAAATTATAGGAAATGTTTTCCACCCAAAATATGATTTCATTATATTTCTTAAAAAAATTATAGAAAAAGTTTTGAGAAGTCAAAAAGTATCAATTTTCTTGTTTTTTTTACTTTGCTTGTTTGGTTCAAAATAAGAAAATGACTCATAACTTTATAGAAAATAGCAATATTTCCTATAATTTATAGAAATTTAACCAAACACCCCCTACATTTATAGAAAAGTGTCAACTTTATAGAAAAGTGTCAATATGGTGTCAGATTTCTGGGTGATTTCCGCCCATTTGATAATTTGATCAGCTTCCAACACTTGTGTTGAACTTTATCATTGATTAGGTGTGCTAGACTCTCAATACTAAAAATAAAGAGATATGGCGATGTTGGATCACCTTGATATAGACCTCTCGTAGGGAGAAAGGATTTTTTTTCCTTCTTTTTTTCATTCCATAACAATGTTAGCCTCGCCGTGCTCACACATTCCATCAGTAGCTTGTCCCAATTGTTCAGTAATCCCATGTTAATGAGGGTATCTTGCTAAAGCACCAACCTACGTTATCATAAGCCTTCTCTAAGTCGAGCTCAAGAATCATGCCTCCCTTTCATCCTTTCAAATCTTTTAACGTATAGAGAACCTCTTGGACCACAACAACAGTATCACTACCATGTTGAGGTGGGATAAAGCTTTTAAGGTGTTGATTGTAAAAATTTTCAAATAGATATTTGTAACTTTTGAAATTTTTAAGGTGTTGATTGTACAATTTTTAGGGTGCTCTTTATAATTTGTAAAACTTCTAGAGAAATGTTTGTAATTTTTGACTTTTATAGGGTTGTTTGTAATTTTTATATTTTATAGTGGCAGTTTATAATTTTTAGATTTTTAAGGTGTTATTTTTAAATTTTCAAATATCATGGATTTATTTGCAATACTTGAATCTAAATGGGTTGTTTGTAGTTTTTATATTTTTAGTGGAAATTTTACATTTTTTAAGGCACTGTTTGCAATTTTTGAATTTTTAAGAGGTTGTTTGGAATGTTGGATCAAATTATAATTTGGAAAAATTA